GCTTGAATTGGAAAGATGTCGGGAAATCGCGATAAATTATTTTTCAGGATGTACCATCGATATATATCTTAGGTATATTTTACATATATCTATTAGTCACCTCCGAAATGAGAAAAATATCGACTTGCAGTCCATCGTAGACGATGATTTAAGTACGTATTAAAACACATTTTATCTGACACAGAGCAAAATCTGCAGTGTACCGACTGTTCAACGCAATGAAACTTTGTAACGATTGATGAGATATTTGCGTTAGTTTTCGTAGATGTATTCTGTATAGATACGCTCTTAAACTTGATGTAATGATGGGAAAATGGAGTTCCCTTTATTTTATGCTGCGGAATCAACCATATACATGCGATTCGGCAGTGAATCGTACACGGCATTTCCGTTTGCAGTACATGAAAAAAAAAGGCGCGAATACAGAACCATCCGTGGAAAATAGAGAAGATTTTTTTACGCGCCACGACGCATCGAGCCTGAAAATTCTCATCGCGCGCGCGAAAGCAAAAAAAAAAAGCAGAAAAATAGCACGCATATGGGCTCCATATAACACGCGTGGAAAATTTGTTTTTCCGGCAACGTCGCTCGCACATCACTCCATCTACATAATATAAGCTACGACCGTAAGTTATACGTGTACGGGCCCTTGTGATGCGCGTTTCTGTCTATCTCGATCTCTCTTCTTCTATATACATTCTTTGCTGTATATATATAGATAGAGCCAGACTATATTATATCCGAGAAGCGTATCGACTGATCGTAGCCGGAAGCGACAGTTCGAAATGATGCGCTCGTCGCTGCTTCCGCGTGTGTACGCATGCACGTAATAGGCGCGATGCGTGCGCTACGTGTCAACGCGCCTGTATGTTCGTCCAATGCGTCGACGCTTCTGGACATTTTGCTTTCGGTGCGTATGCGCGATTTTTTGAGAACCTGACGCGATGTTCAACCTATGTGACGAGAGATTTTCCTATCAAGGACCTCAACCAAACCATTTATTCTTATACGGTAGTAGACTAATAGTAGAATTTTTTTCTTAAGTAGGTTCCTCTGGACACTTGACAGCTCGATACATTCATTTTTAAGCATAATAGCGTACATTTTTCAGTCAGTTTCGAAAAAGTTGCTATTTTGAACGTAGATGTCACTTTATTATGTTCCGACTGGAGTCACAAGTCAGTCGACCAATTAGAGGCCGAATAGATTGGCTTCACTTTTAGGGTCATCATTATTTTAAGACAGGAATATATCAATAAAATGATTGTTCAGATTCTAAATAACGATAAGAATAAAACTGGGGCGGCTTTTTCTGCAAATTCGTAGTCACCGCAGTCACTGTTCCAGTTACAGTTTCAATTAGTTAAGTGAACCACCACTAGATGGCACCGAGCAGAATTTTCAAGCCCTCAAACAAAAAAATTAAGTTCAAGATACAAGTGTACGCGCAATTTACGAATTGTCAATCATTAATATTAAAGTGAAAGCAAATATACTTTGAAATCATTTCATCAACATGTACTAAAAACTTAAATACTGCTGATATTTTATGAAATTTAATAACAATACTGGTATTAAAAGTAATACGAAATATTTTTGAAGTATAAAATGCATAGATAACTAAGGATAGCGTGTTGAAAATTCCATGTATCTTAATTTTTTTTCAGGTGTTTAACAGTTCATAACTTACCGCTAGATGGTTATGGGTTGAATTCTGAAAAACCAAAAGAGAAAACGCAATGTCTAACCATTAAAATAGAGTGATTTTCATACAAGGATGTAATTTGGACTTTGGCCCGTTTGGAGTAAATTGTTTTTAAACCCTTCTTTAACTTTGATTATTTTCACTTTGCCACTTGCAGATGTTAAATTGAAAAAGGTTTTAATAATATTTTATAAAGCCATGAATACACCACTTGCAGGTTTGCAGTATTCGCCACTAGTAGCGAGCACTTGAAGTGATTTTTTTGTGTTTGTGGTCATTAGAAACTCTTTTCAAACTTTATTCAAGCTACATACATCTAATATTGACAGAAACACCGCTGTTCTGACTTGAAATGATTGAACAAACAAAAAAAAAATCTATCAATATTGTTCCACGAAACAGGACTATAGCCTTCATCTTTTGGCTACTTTCCTAGATATTTCTCAATATTTTCAAACAGTTAAATTATCCCTTTCGAAATCATTCGAAATGAGTTTATTATTTCATGTGTTTTAAAACATTTTAAACAGTCATTTATTGATAATGATGCCTTCATTAATGTTCAGCGTTACTACCAAGAAGGTTTTTGAACTTTGGATAAAGTCCAGAACGATCGATGCTCATCTTATGCTTAATTCCTATTACTCGCAATAAATTTTAAACGCCGAACCGAGATTCCATATAAATCGGTCTCATTTTTTCGTTCGGCAGAGTCTCAAGATCTCTGCGATAATGACTGACCACATCACGGAGGGCGTGTAATTTTTTTGCCGCAAGCTCGGCACAGACACGCATCGACGGGGCTTTTAATCACAGATGAGGCACATATCCGTAGTATAAAAGTACTTCGTGTTACAATTCTGCTGCTGCTGCGGAGCGTCGATAGTTAGATTTTTCACTTTAATTTGCCATCGGGTGCGCGCCGCCGTATAGAGCTACGGCCGTCACAGTGATGTAGCGCGTCGACGCGGCCGCGCGCGCTATATAACGGCTGGGGTCGAGCAGAAAAGAAAGAGAAGAGTTTTACGGGTTTGCGCGCGCGGGATGCTGCCGCTGACTGCAAAAAGAAAAGAAAAGAAAAAAAAAGGGAAAAAAAAGCTTATCGTCGGCTGGGAGAAGAGAGAGAGAGAGAGAGAAATATCATCAATGGACGATTGGATGCGCGCGAACGTTGCGCGCTTCGAGCCTTATCGCTTATCGATCACATCTTCCGTCGAGCCTTTCAATTGTGCGTGTGTACGTTCGTATGTATGCACGCGCCTGTGTGCGAGTTGATAGTGTATGATGTGCTGCTGCTGTGCCGCACGACTCCGGGGAAAGAGAGAGAGAATCAGCTCACTTCATCGAAAGCGTGAGAGAGATTGATCGACTGCTGCTGCTGCTGCCGGTACAGCATCGCATCGTCAGAGAGACAATGATTAGAGAGCAACGAGCCAAAGCTGCCGCCGCCGCCGCTGCTGCACTGCACAACACGCAATATACTAGGCACGCGTGCACATGCGTCCAGTGTGTGTACACGCGCGCAACACTCACACATCACGGGCTCGTGCACACAATGCTCGTATATGTATACGCGAACTTGATACATTCGCACACATACGTACACAGGGCAGGACCAATATATACTCGCACGCGCGTTTGTGTGAGTATTTGCTGATTACAGGCGTAGTTCGGAGCTCGTAATAATGCATAGTGTCGTTAATTAATCGAGGGAGAGAGAGAAAGAGAGAGAGAGAGAGAGTGGGTTTTAGGGGGGTAGGCGAGGGGTGTGTACAGAGAGAAAACTCGTTCGTTTGCGTGCGCGTGCGAGCGTGTGTGTACGTGCCTGTATGTAGGCCCAGACAGCTTTTTCGGTCTCGCTAGCTCGCGCGCGGAAGCAAGAGAGCTAGAGAAACTGCGAATCTATATGTATACAGCTCCAACCCTTTCTCACTCGCTGCCTTTAAATATGGGCACCGACTCGCTCTCTTGCTCTTGCTCTCTCTCTCTCTCTCTCTCTCTCGCGCGCGGCACCCTTTTAACTCGGCTGCGTAGGCGCATTATACCCGCGAGGAGAAAGACTCGACATACTACCACCACCACCACCACCATCACCGCAGTAGAGACAGAAGCAGCAGCTTCTTCTGGGCTCGCGAGCAACTATACGCAAAGAGCAGGTATAGGTATATGGAAGAGAGCACCTGTATACGTGTGTGTGTGTGTGTGTGTGCGGTATTAATGAATATTACGTACGAGCCCGAGCACGAATTTAATTGTTTTCCATGCGCAGCCGTAACTGTACGATTGTACCTTGCAGCTCTCTCTCATCTAGCTCCCAGAGCCAACTGGCAACAATTTTGTACATGCATAAAATCGAAAACAATATAAAATAAAACTTTAGATATGAATACAAAAAAATTAACGTATATCAATTTCCAATAAATAAATTTACAGTAATAAAAGAAAATCGATAAAAACCGCTACAAGATGTGTAACTGAATATTCATTTTTATTATTTACTCCCTTGGTTAGTTTATTCAATTATAAAGTTTTTTTCCCGACAATCCAAGGGGAACCCCACAGACAAGTTGAAACAGACAAGTCAACACAAATCAAAACACAAAAGCATTCACAAGACTCGTGTCAATTTTATTAAAACTCGATCTGTCACTTCTTCTTATATACAAAAAACTAGTCTCACAATCAACGTTTTGTCAGGCAGACTTTGACCTCTTCAGGATAAAAAAAAATAGTTCAACAGATAAAATTAATACATGTGGCCTGATATAGTAGCCACAAGTCAATGACAATGTGTAAATTCAAAAATATAATCCAACTCACATCGTGCACTTGTATGTACAAGAGCCCTAAAGTATTGCGGAGGCGCAGCGATTTTTGGAATGGAAGATTTTAATGCACCAGTTCTAGATTATTATTGAACAATGATTTTGATTAGTTTAGGATTCCTTGAAGACGTTTAATGCAATTTGATGCGATTTAAATGGATACTCAACTCGAACGTGATGTGTCTCTTTCCACTAGTACATAGTCGATTTGGTCAATATTTCTATTGGCCCACAATAGTTACACACGTAAGTTTATGATAATCTTTGATAATTTATTAATTTTTCATCTAAAATTAAATTCGATACTATTTTTGAAAAATTCAGAGTGAGGACTTCATGAATAAATTTAGTCATTACCTAAATTGATACTTTTAAGCAATTTTAAAACGTTTTTAAATATAAACTTTTTCGTACATTTATCTTATAAGTCAATGAAATTTTCGGCACTTTATACAAGTAGAAGATCTTGTCATTTCTCTCGTCAAACGCGAAATGTTTATGCACGTGTTTATAATCGAAGCTGTTAAATTCGGTTAGAAAGAGCGCCAATTCAGCCGTGTGCCATTGTTGTTATTGCCTGTACCTATATTATGTTATTCAAACGAGCTGCTTCTGCTTCAAATGGATACCGAAATCAACGACTTATTCTCGTTCTAAGCTCGGGCCTACTCGTATCTTCTATGTGCGCTTAAATAAGTGAATATCGCATCGTCCGCAATAATTGTGGTTTTCGCGTAAAAACAAAAAGAACAATCTTAAATCATTAGTGACTGTGCGCGTCGTGCTCGAGTATGGAAAACGATTTAGCCACGTTAACCCGCCAATTGAGTATCTTGAAAGGATTCGTGAAGTGGGACGACATGAGATCGCGATTCGCATTTTTCTGCACTTTCAATTCATTGATTAAAGATTGGAAGGCCCCGCACCCGAACCTTCTGGACGTCTTTACGCCCGAAGAGATCGAGAAGATTCTCAACTTTGCCGTGGACGACCCGGCCGGCGACGCGAAGCACAGAGAAAGATTCATCGAGTTCGTAGCCGCGACCGGCTACAAAGACGCGCTGCAGAAACGTGGCCGCCCGGTCCTGGACCGCACCACACCGCTGCATCGTTTGTTCCACAGCCGGCTCCCCGGCGACAAGGACCGAATGGCCCGTGCGCTCTTTCGGATATACGACAAAGTCAAGGTGAACTACGAGGAGACCCGTCACCTCGAGGACCAAATCGTCTCGCACTTTCACGTGGCCTGCTGCATCAGCGACAATGAAAGACCGATGACCTCGAAAAAAATTCATTTGGAACAAAAAAACAAAACTGATGAGACGGAGGATGATGGCGAGGGCGAGCCAAGTGCCGACATGCTCGAGGAGCAAGGTAAACTTGAGATGCAGAAAGAAAATTGAATGTTATTGTTATTTTTTGTCATACATTTCTCATTGTGTTATATCTGTTCTATTTTCCTCTCAAATTTCATTTTGTCTCAAATGTCATTTCGTACTCAAGTGTTAATCATAACCCAATTTTTTTCAGTCCCGGAATCATGCTCCAAAGTTGGAAAAAAAGCAGCTGAAATGGGAGTAAAATCTGGCAAGAAACGCCCGAGACCCGAAAAAAAATCCAATGAAAGACCGATGACCTCGAAAAAAATTCGTTTGGAACAAAAAAACAAAACCGATGGGACGGAGGATGATGGCGAGGGCGAGTCAAGTGCCGACATGCTCGAGGAGCAAGGTAAAATTGAGATGTAGAAAGAAAATTGAATGTTATTGTTATTTTTTGTCATACATTTCTCATCGCGTTATATCTGTTCTATTTTCCTCTCAAATTTGATTTTGTCTCGTTGTTTGTTTAAACACGGTCATTTACATATGTGCGTGTATTTATTTATGTACAACGAAGCTTGTTTCGATTTTCGGTCTCGCGCGCACGTTTCGTCGCATTTTTTATTTATTTAACTATAACAATATATATTTTTTGTTCTGATAGCTGAGACGGACGAAAAAGAAAATTTGGACGAGGCTTCACAAGAAAAAGAAAACAATCAAAATGAATTTAAAAGTAACAAGCGCAAAGACAGAGAAGAAATAAATGACACCGATGCTGATGAACAGAAACAAAAACGCTCCCGCAAATCCGCTGATATGAACGAGGAACTGCGAAAGAAGTTTGTGTCTTTTCACCGGGAGAAAAGAAAAGTAAGATATTTTTTTTAATTTTCTTCATCATTATAACAATATAATAATTTCAGGTAAAGCTTTATCCCGGTTATAATATTTACATTAATGCTGCCGAGCTATAATTTCTTAAGGATCAGTGGAGGAATAAACCAAGGCATCTTGCTAGGCAGCTTTTTTGCCTAATTATCGATCCATCAAATTTGAAAAAAATGACAGCGACTGGTCGAGCTGGAACTACCGAAATACCAAATGATGTTTTTAAGGCAGTATTTAGTAAGAAAATTTTGAAATCGTTTAAAAGGAGATCGATTTTGAAATCGTTTCTCTTCAATCTCGGCCAAAATATACATTTTTTTGTTGTATTTTCGAATTTATTATACTTTTAATAATCCCTTGCTAAAACTTCGTATGCAAATTCGAATTCTTGGTCGGTCAAAGTCAGGATTGAAAGTAAGAACTTATATGGCGTTTGATGTCAGTTGCCAACTTTAAACGCGTTTTTCTCGAAACCATGTTTTATGAGACGGGCCTGCAAGATATCTCAAAAACTACTGTGGATATCGATATGAATTTTTTTTCGTTACATTGACTAGATCTTAATCTATGACTTCACAATTCGCCAATCTTAATGTTTATTCAATAAACTTACAGTAAAAGCATCATGGACAAATTAAAAAAAAATTTTACCATATAATAACAAAACCAAAGTGAATTTAGTGTGCAGAAAGAATGACCCTCAAGATAATGTTAATCTTGCTGTTGAAGCCGTCATAAAAGGTAGTACCATCGCCGAAGATTCACGGACTTTCAAGGTACCTGAATCAACAATCTGAGCTTAAAAACCAGGAAAATATAAAAGCGACAGGTCAATACGTTCAGCAGTTATACTAAAACTGAAGAGGATGACATAGTGGGCTGGATTGTAACTCAACGTAAAAAAGGGCTTCCCATAACTAAAAAGCAGCTTCTTGACTGTGTTGAAGTTTCATGTCTCCGAATAAAGACGAAAAATCCTTTCCAAAACCATTTGAGAAACGTTATTTTTATTTATGAGGTGAAAATAATTTTAATACTATCGAAATCTGGCATTTGAACCTAAAAAAAAACCACCGTAGTACATGCGCAGAATTAGGTCATCCGCAGTAATAGATGCACAGTAATGCATGCATGTACCGCAGTAATACATGTATCCATTTTTATTTTTGAAAGTACTGTTTAATAATATTGAATTGAAATTAAAAAATTTTTAATATTTGAATTGTTTAGCCAAGATCCTGAATAATAACGTAAAAAAAAATTATTAGGCAAATCTTTTTACAACGTGTAATATCGAAGGTTGGAAAACAATTTAAAAAAAAACCGCAGTAACACCCACATTTACTCTACTTTAAATTTCATTACAATAGACTTAAAATTTCGATTATGACATTTGAAAATAGAAAATCTCATTTTTACCATTGCAACAAGAACTCACAACTTCTTCATGATACGTGATAAGTTTTCATGGTAGAGATTTGAAAATTTACTAGTTTGTATAAAGTCTATTATAATGAAATTTAAGTATGAATAAAAAACCTCGAGTTTATAGGGAAACGATGTCGCCAGGAGTACATTCATAACTGGTACACTGAATAAGCCACCCGGGTGTACAAAGTAGCGAAAACTTCTCGACTTCCTCGGGGAAAGTCGTCGCCGAGATTGTATTTATACCTAGTGCACTGAATAAGCCACCCGGGTGTACAAAGTAGCGAATACATCTCGACTTTCTCGGAGAAAGTCGTCGCCGTAGCTGTATTTGTACCTAGTGCACCGAATAAGCCACCCAGGTGCACAACATAGCGAAAACATCTCGATAAATTTATATTTCTGATGTGTGTATTAAAACTGGTTTTCATTTTTTCGAGTGAGTCTTTACTACTTTATGTTTTTTGTTTCGAGAAACGATCGTTCTTTTTCGAGATAGAAAGTGCTACAACGCTGCGCCGTGCGGGAAAATCTTAAAATCGACTTCCTGCACTCGATGATGAAAAAAACTATACGTAACTGAGGCGGTTGTCAATCTTGCACTCGCGTCAATTCAACCCTCTCTACGCTCGGGCTGCAAACTGACACTCTTGCAAGATAGACAACCCCCCGCCTCAGTTAAGTAATGTACTATTCGCTTAGTACTGCATAATAGTAATTTTCGATACAAGTGCCATAAGTAACACTTTTTGGCACGGCGTAGTTTAGGGCCCGAGCGCAGCGAGGGTCCTAATAGCTGGGCCGAAAAGTGTCCCCTATGGCCCGAGTATCGAACAACATTTTATAGTACTGTGCAAAGTTCACATTTATGCCCCCTTTTCCGAGCCATGAGTCGCACTTTCTGGTAGCGCGAAGTGAGGTTAGCGCACGAGCGTATGCGAGTGTGATGCGAACGCAGCGGTGCCAGAATGTGCGACTTATGCCACCGAAAAGCGTGCCGTAGATGTGAACTTATGCCACGCAGTGCTATAAATAACTATTTCTTTTGCTTACGTATAATATCGTTTGATTAAAAAAAAATTGACAGTGAAAGGTGTATTGATAGTTATGAACGCACGAGATTCAGATAAGACAATCAACAATCAAAATTTAGAAAAACGTCTATATGATTACAATGTAATTACTATATATTTAAAATAGTCCAAAAAAAACAGAACTTTTTATTATTTCATTGAAGAGATACACGAGCATATGACTGCGATAAGTTCGAGAAATTTATACAATATATCAATAAACAATCAATTTATTCATAAAAACTTTATAATCTTCTGATATGAGATTTGATACAATTGTGAATATTTATTATGGCAGTCCAATTGATTCTTATTTAGTACACCTTTTCGCACAATCACATGCAAAAACTTATGAGCGAATTAAATGTGGGAAATCGAAGTTTGTATGAAAAAATTTTATTGTTTTAATCACATACGCAATTTTAACAAAACTTCAAGAATTACCTGGTTAATGATTTCTGTGAATTTTATGGATTTTTTGTCGACAACTCATATCCGATGAAGTAGAAGTCTGGTGTTTTCTCGCGAGAAAAATTTTAATTACTTTTGTGGACTATCATTTGATGCCTAAACAAATTCACTTTTTGTCCAAATTTCTGTTCGCACTTGTCGCACGCGAAATCTTTGCGACAATCGTGTACTGTTTTTTGGTGGACGAGCAAATTACTTTTATGTACAAATTTCTTCTCGCACTTGTTGCATGAGTAATTTATCCGACATTCGTTTACTGTCCTTCGATGCTTCAACATATCTAGTTTACTTTCGAATTTCCTCTCACACTTGTCACATGCAAAATCTTGAAAATTTTGATGTACTGTTTTTTTATGTCTTCTCAAATTGCCTCGATTCCCATATGTCTTCTCACATTTGTCGCATGCAAAATCTTCGCTACTTTCATGTACTGTCTTTTGGTGCAAAAGCAGATACCGTTTATAACCAAATTTCTTCTCACATTTTTCACATGCATAATCTTTGCGACCTTCGTGTACTGTCTTTTGGTGAAAAATCAGATACGGTTTATAGGCAAATTTTTTTTCGCACTTGTCACATGCGAAAGCTGTGCAATCTTCATGGACTGTCTTCTGGTGATAAAGTAAACTCGACCTTTGCGAAAATTTCTTCTCACACCTGTCACATACGAAGTCTTTGCGACTTTCATGAAATGTATTTCTGTGTTCGATCATATTGCCACGATTCCCAAATTTCTTCTCGCATTGGTCACATGCGAAATCTTTTCGACCTTCATGGACTGTTTTTAGGTGGGTGACCAAAAACGATTTTTGTCCAAATTTTTTCTTACACTTTTCACATACGAAATCTTTCCGACCATCGTGAATTGTATTTTGATGCACGAGCAAATGACATTTTTGTGTAAATTTTTTCTCGCATTTGTCGCATGTGTAATCTTTGCAACCTTCGTGTACTGTCCTTTGATGCCTGGTCAAATCTGATCTATGACCAAAAGGTTTTTCGCACTTTTCGCATATATAATCTTTTCGACCTTGATGGACTGTCCTGTGGTGGTCAACCAAATGCTGTTTTTGTCCAAACTTCTTATCACACTTGTCACATGCGAAATCTTTCCGACCTTCATGTACTAACTTTAGGTGGACGATCAAATACGATTTTTGTCCAAATTTCTGCTCACACTTGTCGCATTCAAAGTCTTTGCAACCTTCATGGACTGTCTTTTGGTGCCTGATCAAAGAACTTCGATCACAGAATATCTTCTCGCAATTATTGCATGTGTAATCTTGGGTACCATCGTGTACTGTCCTTTGATGGACTATCAAATAATCTTTTCGTCCAAATTTCTTTTCGCACTTGTCGCATGCAAAATCTTTCCGATCTTCGTGTATTATCTTTTGGTGATAGAGCAAATGGGATTTGTGCCCAAACTTTTTCTCGCAATTGTCACATGCGTAATCTTTCCGACCTTCATGTATGATCTTTTGGTGAAGGAGCATATTACCTTTTCGTCCGAATTTTTTTTCGCACTTGTCACATGCGTAACCTCTGCGACGACCCTCATGGACTGTTTGTTGGTGTCGAGTCAAAGCACTTTGTTTTCCAAATTTCTTACCACAATCGTCACATAAGTAATCTTTGAAGACTTTGGAGGACTTTGGAAAACTTTGGAAGACTTTTTTCTGACCGTCGTGTACTGTCTTTATATGCACGAGCAAACTATGTTTATTTCCAAATCTTTTTGCACACTTTTCGCATAAGTAATCTTTGAAGATCTCGTGGAATATTTTGTTGTGTTTGAGTAAAATTGATTTATTTTCAAATTTCTTTTCACACTTGTTGCAAGTGAAACCTTCAGGATCTTTGTGAGCCAATTTATGATGCGTAAACAAATTCGATTTTTTCACAAATTTTTTCTCACACATGTCGCATGCAAAATCTTTTCGTTTATTGTGAATTGTGTCTCGTTGTACCATCATGCTTGATTCCAGTGTAAATTCCTCCTGACAAATATCATCAATGTTTTGTTTGTTGCTTGAAACAACAATGTCTTTTTCACTTAAATTATCTTTTGAGTCGATTTCCTCGGAGTTGTTCTCTTTTTTATCCATTTTGGTGTCTGAATTAAGCCATGGATCCTTCTATTAAGAGTGACAGAAAATCAATGAGTAAAATTGATCTTTTGGTGTTCTGTCTTGTTTCGTCAGGAAAGACAACATTCAACCGATTTGTTTTTGCTGTAAACACGATTGATGTATCGAGAGACGATGTGAAAATTCATGTATGATATTATTGTTTACAATTAAATAACCGTTTTAACAAAGTTATATTCCTTCATCTATGTGATCGATTATAAA